GGTGACGGGTGGCGCCGGAGTAGCAGCCTGAGGCGCCCCATGGGTGTCTCCTGCTGTCCCTGTCCCCGAGCCGCCCACTGGTGCCCCGGCCAGCGCAGCCCCGCTGCTGCCGCATATCAGCACGCATATCAGCAGCAGCACCGCAGAGGGCAACCGATGCCGGGGCATGCTGGGCCGTCGCCGCTCCCTTTCTCTCCCTTCACTCCTTGCGCTGGATCCGGTGAGGCCGCGGCGGCTGTGTGTGTGCGTGTGGTGGAACCCGGCAACAGCAGCACCCGAGTGTGTTGGCGAGTGTGTGTGTGTGTTGCCGGTGGCAGTAGCTTCAGAGCCTTCAAGGCGCACAGTAGCGATTAGCGGTCGGTCTCTTTCCTTGTGCGCGTGAGGGAGATAAAGGAAAAGAGAGTTGTGGGAGAAAGGGTCACAGAAGACACACACACAGCATGCTGCGGAAGCAGACAGTGCGCACCGCCGCCGAGGGCGGCAGAGTGCGAAGAAGAAAAGGCGAAGGGAATCGCCCTCCACTGGGGGGCCGCGGGCCAACGGCCCTACGCCGAAGGCAAAATGACAGGGGAAAAGAAGGGCCCTGAGGGCAGGTTCCACCGCCCCGCACTGCAGGCGCCTTGCAACCGAGCCAGGCGGCCCCAAACAGAGCGCGAAGCGCGGCCCACACGCATCCAACCGAGGACGCCGCGACTCACACCACGCAGGCAGACACACGGCGCCCTCACCACGTCCGCACTGAGGTCGCGGGACGCACAGTCACAGCCGTGCCATCGCCAAAGCCATCCTTGCAGAGCACTGACAAGCTACTTGCGCTGTCGGAGCAGAAAAGAAGAGCACGGGGCGACGCGTAGACGCAGCAGGAAGCACAGCCGGCTGGCAGCGATGCCCGCGGCGCACACACGGCGGCGGCAGACCCCCCTCCCAGCGAGGGAAAAAGAAGTAAAAAGAGATGCTGTAAATGACTCCCACAAAGCCCAAACAGTGGGAAGAAAAGAAAAAAAGAAAAAAACAAAAGAAAAAAAGACGGCAGGGCGTGGCTGTGGTGTGCGGCGTCGTGAGCGTATGCCTTCCCTGGCCGCAAAAGCACAAAAAAAAACAAAAACAAAGTGGTGTGTCCCACTCCCCCAGCGCCCCCTCTTCATGTGCACAGCGGGCGAGGGCCTCCGAAAAGGCCGACATCATCGGCGTTTCTGCGGGTGTGAGAGCAACAGCGAGGCGGGACGCACACGGCACTCCAAAAAGAGAGAGTGCAGCAAGAGGCAGTTAAACAGAGAAGAGTAAAAACAAAAAAAGTATATCCGTGCGGATTACCCCTGAAGCAATAAAAAAAAAACAAAATAAATTGACCCGCCGCGGGAGACGGCGCACGTGCCCCGCAGTGAAGCCGCACACACCTCTCACAAGGTCGCAAACACCCACAAGCCCAACAGAAGTAGTGGCAGCAGCGCCCGGCGCCCACGCACACTGCCATCCTCAGCGTTGCGCGCCTGCAAGAGAATCTCACTG